AAGGTCTTCCGACAGTCCTTGAGTGCTTGGGAAATCCGCTTTACTCATAGGCTGCTGATTGAACTTAGCCATGAGCTTATTATATGCATAGGTCTTTTCATCCCTATTTCGACCACCTTCTTCATTAGAAAAACAAATCTCCATATCTGGTTCTTTTTGAAATACATCACTTTTCACATCTGTATTTGGAATGGTGTTCTGCAGAGGTGGCAATCTTGCTTTGGAACAGTTCCTGATTTGCGGTAATAAACTGGAATCGGTAAAAGACACAGTATTGGTTGCTTGAATAGAAGTCGATGTAGTAGTTACTCCAATTTCTTTTTCCGTTTGCTGAGAACCCAAATATTCCTTAGCTTTTTTATTTCCATTAAGCGACTGTTCGACTGCAGCAATGCGCTCTGTTATTTTTTTAAGCTTCTCTTCGAATACCAGAATCTTATCCATAATCCCCTGAACTTGCTTTGCGTTGCTTTCAATGAGAGATTTGACGAGATTTCGTGCGAGGAGCTTGTGCACGATATCCTTTAGATCGTCCAGTTTAACGAATTCACTTGTGTTTCCTCCAAAGCGTATTTCACTACATTCATTTAAACCAGCTCCGTATAAAGAATCCCTGGACATACTGCTGTTTTCCATGGCCTTGGATACTTCGCGGCGAACCAAAATAGTAATCGAATTGGAAAGTTTGCTTGATTGATGTATAGATGATACGGAAGCATCAACTCCTTTGACTTTGTCTTTACCACCTTTTTTGCTTTTCGAAGTCCTGGTCTTGTTTATTGCCGTTTTATTTCTAACTGTTTTTCCATACATTTTTTTTGAAAATAAAAAATTTGAACTAGATAGGAGTAAATTTCTGTGAGAGATTTCGGGAATCAGGTTTCGAGTGAAGCTTCACTGAAACAACTCCTTTAATCATTCCGCCCGCTTTAATAGAAAATGCCCGGGTAGACTAGTTAATATTTTGATAAAATATTCCGAATGAGTACATTTTTATTTAGTAATTTATAGATCCAAGGACAAAATCATTTTTCGTCAAAAAAGTTGATATAAGACGTGTGTTTACCAAGAGGTGCTTATGATTGTATTTATAAGTTTTTATAAAAATTATTGTTTTCCCACTGTTTAAAATTACATACATGATTTGATATATTTTTATTATTCTTGTAAATTTTTATCTATTTGCTAAAAATCTTTTAGGCACACCCACTCTAACGCCCACAAACTGCTCAAAGCTGCCACGCCCACACTTTTGAAAAAAGTTTTCATATTTTTTTCTTAGTCTTGTAGAATTGTACTTTAACGCCCACAAATCACACAAAACAGTCATGCCTGCACTTTTGAACAAATTTTAAATTGTTTTTTTTTTATTCTACCATTCTGATCAAATTTCTCGTTTGCACTTTCACTATCTGAGTAACGGGTATCTGATAGTCGAGGAACTCGACTATAGCATTCTTTCTTGTTTGGTTTGTTCCTTAGAAGAAAAACGAAAAACGACAGGAAATTTCATTTAATAGGGAAATTTTCTCTTTTCAAAACGGTTTCTCTTCGGCTAGGCATGTAACCACTTCACTGTCTCTTATTTACGGAGGTATGTAGTTGTATTTCAGTGAGTCCAACCACTGGCATTTATTGTCTGATCTTGTAAACATGACCTATCCATACTAATCTTTATCTGGGACATACAAACCCGCTGCAGGCCGCAACGGACGTTAGCATGCTTCGCTACTGATAAAATATTGTTATTTTACCAAATGATGAGAAATTTAAAAAATTGCACGGGGTTGTTGAGCCTATGAAGCCACGATTATCTTTAGTTCAAACACAGACGCCTATTTAATTATTGGTACTAACGTCCCAAGACGGGTTTCCATCATCTCAAAGGCCTTGACACTCCTCCTGTAGTGGAGTGTAATAATAAAAACAAGATAGAATGCTGTTGTCGAGTTCCCCGACTATCAGATATCCGTTACTCAGCTAGTGGAAGTACTAAGGAGAAATTTCAAAATTTTCCTAAATATCGGTAAAAAGTGGGAAAAAAATAATAAAATGAAAAAAAAATTCAAAAGTGTGGGCGTAACAGTTTTTGACGGTTTGTGGGTGTTTGAGTGGGCGTGGCAACATCATTTAACAAACTTGCGCTGCGTCTATGTCTGTGAAATCTGCGTGCCTTATCTCAACATTCTAGCTTTTATAGTTCCAGAGATCTCGACATTAATACTGAAGGACAGACAGACGGACATGGCCAGATCGACTCGGCTATTGATCCTGATCAAGAATATATATACTTTATAGAGTCGGAAACGCGTTCTCTTTCATGTTACACACTTTTCAAAGAATCTATTATACCCTGACTCTACGAGTAACGGCCATAATTAATTAAATAATAAATATGTGGTCTTGACAGTTTTCGGCGGATTGTGGACGATGGAGCTCTGAAACAAATTTGCACAGTATCGACAACACTAGAACCTGCACGGTTAATCTTAACTTTCTAGCACTTATAGTGTTAAGAACCATAGGGGCGTCCGACTTCTATAGGGACATACGAATCTAATATACCTCTTAACTTTACCCGGTATTGGTAAAGTATAAAATTTCTTAGAATAATAACCAGAAGAAAAATATACGTGCATATCCTTTCGATGTCTGCTTCAAATTATGGTTCCGACCATGTTCATTTGGGAAAATATGTCAACAAGTCAACAATGGGTCATAAAACACAAAGACATGGCTCGTTGTTACCCGAACTAAGAAATGTCAGCGAATTCATAATCCGTTTACATAGGATTCCCCCATAGGCGCGCTGAGCTTCCTGCTCTAGGCGAGAAGGAAACCTACTATTATGGCCCTGCTTACTCAGATGCGTAGTAAAATTATGCATTAGTTTTATGACATTATGCGCCATATTAAAATGTGCTTAATTACGAAACATAATCAGCAAGGGTTCGGCGCACGTCGTTGTCTTGCCTCTTGGCCTCTTTTGGTCCTCGGAAATCGTGCATATGTGCTGGTGCCGTGTTTTGTGCTTGTTTACATATTTTCCCTTACGTACGTGTTGGGTGGTATAGCCAAGAAAATTCTTTTTAAACGAGAAAGTCGGCTGCTGAATTATCATGAGTAGCAATAAATGCTTAATTTACAGCAATGTTTGCTTACGTATATTTTATGCATATATATAAGGTTTATTAGCATGGAAAAACTCCAAATTAAAAATAAGAGAGAATTCTATAGTCGAGTTCTACGACTATCAGATACCTGTTACTCAGCTGGGGGAAGTGCGAACGAGAAAATTCAAAATTTTCTGGAATATCGGTAGAAAGTGGAAAAAAAATAATAAAATTAAAAAATATTAAAAATCTTTCAAAAGTCAAGCCGTGAGGTTTCGGGGATTTGTGGGCGCTGGAGGGCGTTTTTACTCTACATATAATGGTTTTCAAAAATGTGTAAAAATTTTTTTACTTTATTATTTGACTTTCCAGTTTCTAATGATTTGCCTAACAAATTTTAGCGACGCCCACTCTAACGTCCACAAGCCAACAATAACTCCCACACCCACACTTTTGAAATCGTTTTGATTTATTTTTAATTAGATTAAGAATTTCGAGCCAATTTTTAACTATGTCAAAAAAGTCTTTTTATTTTTTATATTATGTATATCTGGAAAATAATTTTGTAGCCCCTTAAATTCCACAAATTTGATATATAAAATATACTTTGATTATTAAGAAACGAAACTATTTTTGAGCATTAAATTCAATTATACATAAGAGCTCGATAAAAAAAACAAGATAGAATGCTATAGTCGAGTTCCACGACTATCAGATATCCGATACTCAACTAGTGGAAGTGCTAACGAGAAATTTCAAAATTTTCTGGAATATCAGAAGAAATTGGAAAAAAATAATAAAATGAAAAAAATTTTAAATTTTTTTAAAAGTGTGGGCGTGAGAGTTTTGTGCGACTTATACATATATATATAAGTTTCTATATATATAGATATATAGAAAGGTGATAAAATGTCACATTTTTCAAAAGTGTGGGCGTACCAGTTTTGGGCGGTTTGTGGGCGTTAGAGTGGGCGTGGCAACATTTGGAAACAAACTTGCTCTGCGTCTAAGTCTCTGGAAGCTGCGTGCTTAATCTCAACAGTCTAGCTTTTGTAGCCCACAATTTGCAAAAAAATCTGACGCCCACACTTTTGAAAAAATTTTAAGTGTTTTTTAATTGTTTCCAAATTTCTATCAATTTCTTCCACTAGCTGAGTAACGGGTATCTGATAGTCGGGGAACTCGACTATAGCATTCAATCTTGTTTTAGTGTAATATCAGTGCAGTGGTTCTGATTGGACTATCTCATCATCTTCACTTTGTGGATAGCCGTCCTTGTCACTAGTCCAGCCGACCTCGCTTTCTCCGTCATTCCAAGGTACCAGCAAGAAATGTTACCGCTGCTAGATGGCGCACGTGGCCAATATGAATTAAGTCGCTTTTGTACTGCATATCTCTATCTGAATAAAGGGTTTCTGACAGCCGATTAACTCCACTAAAGCGTCCTAGTGTTTTTTCAATGTCAATTATTACTTAGTAAAATTATTTAGTTTATTTATGTAACAATAAAAAAACTGGAAAAATACAAAAATTACGTCCATCAAAACTATTTAATTGAAAATTTAGTTTGAAAACTTACTAAACTAACTAAAACTACTGACTAACTTACTAAACTAAAACCTGCTAAAACTAAAATCGAATATAGCTGTTTGATTGTTGTCTCAGACAAAAAAAAAACTAAAAGCATTAGCTATAATATATAACTTCTCGCTCGCTTACCTAATACTTACCACCTTAAATCGGCGGTGGCCTCATCTCGGCGCACCGGTATGTATGCTAACCACTTGAGGTCTAACATCAAGCGAAGTGCTTGTCGGCTAAGCCTCTTTTTAGCTTGAGCCATCAAAAGGCAACAATAACAACTGCCTTTTTCAAAGAACGCTATAAAAGCGAACGCGGATTTGCGGCTACTAGTCATTAAGTTGTCGTCAACAGCATGCAGAGAACTATATCGATTTGTGTTCTTATCGCCTTCAGTGGGGCCATAATAATGGCAGAAGGAAAACCTGTTCTAATTAAGGTTTTCGCTCCAGGCGGTGGTATAATATTTGTCTTTTGGGGTAAATTACAAGCTTTAGTCTTACTGATTTCTCTTCAGGCTACTCCAGTGGCAGTTACCAGAGTACAGTGTCACCTGCCACCAGCCAGCTCATCTCCAGCCTTATCTCTTCAAAAATTCAACTGTTGAACAACGTGCTGCGGGCCAAATCTTCTTCCGGGGGCTTGCGTATTGGTTTCAATAAGTCTGTGAATTTCTTCGGCCCCACAAGCGCCACAAGCACCACCGAAAAGCCCGTGACACACCATACCACCGAGGTAAACACAGACTTTGCTCCGGAAGAATCTAGTAGGACTACTCAACTTCTTTACTCGACAACAACAGAAGGTATTGTCGAAACGCCAAACCAGACTATACATCCCGAGCTACCAGCCAGTACCACTTCAGCGATCACAATAGAGAGCACCACATCGGTAACACCACTCATCTCGACGACAGCAATTTCTGGATACTCCTATCGCACTCCCACTAACCATCCATTAATTCGGTGAAAACCCATTTCTTGCCAACTCAAAAACCGTCGTCCTAGCAATGTTCGGAAATGAGTAAACTTATTTAATTAACTAACTAAGTTGTAATGATTTTGGAGAACTGTTTCTTAAGTTAATATAGCTATAGATAACGCGGAAGCTACTCAAGCTTGTCGCTCATTGTTCATTATCACAATAGAGAACTCTGTGCGATTGTTGTCAGACTAGTCATTGGGATTATTAGCATAGAAACCGGTTTTTAAAGAATTATGTGGGCTACAAGGCAAATATTAAATGTTTCATTAACTGCTTCTTCAGATTTACAGGCAGATTCTAGCGCGTGTTCCAAGTCTCTTGACGCATCTATAAATATTTTTTGTTCAAGGCCATTGGTTTTTGTATGTCTGGGAAATGAACTTTATTAAGGCGTTAAATAATACATACAATAGGAAACAAATAAATGAACAATATTTCTCTCACCATAGACATGGTATAAATAGTTGACCTCCTCGAAGAACGCGTTTTTCAGACAAAACCTGAAAATATGCAATACCTATTTCTTTGGCCAAAATAATTAAATTACCAATCAATTTTATAAGCAAATCCGACCGAAAAGGTTACCTAGATCCACTCGAACACAACATGTCCACTGAATTCCTGTTACTTGACTTTGGTTTTGTTTCCACATTCGCTAATCCTTTTTGCTCAATTTTAGGATCGCATGGCATTTACGTGAACGATGGAAGAAAATTATTCTAGGAACTTAACTAAATATTAAACACGTAATTCCAGGCTCCGATCTCATTGTTCCCTTTCACTTGACGTATTTTCGGCCCAAGACCAGCGGATCGTTTTAACTGATATATCCTTGTTCGTTCTAGAGACTCGGCAAGGCTTTCCTTTTTTATTTCCTATGAATATTTCAATTGAATAATTAATGGCTGTACTGCAAAACTTTAAGAGAATAAAAACAAGGGAGAATGTTATAACAGAGTTTCCCGACGAAAATAATAGAATAGAAAAAAAAACATTTTTTAACATGTTTTTAACATGGCCGTGACAGTTTTGGGCGGTTTGTGTGCATTGGAGTAGGCGTGGCAACATTTGCAAACAAACTTGCGCTGCATCTATGTCTCTGGAAGATGGATTCTTAATGTCAACATTCTAGCTTTTGTAGTTCCTTAGATCAAGGCGTTCATACGGACGGACAGACGGAGAGGGCAATACATAATTTTTAACGAATCTAGTATACCCTTTTACTCTACTCTAACTCCGGCGGCGGTATAAAGAGCTTTTTCGTCGCCTACTCTGATGCATTAATGGTCCTCTCATTTGCCGAGTTTTACTCAATTAACAAACATTTAACAAAAATTTCCTTGGTAAATGTGCCTGGGAAAACTTTAAACACCAGATCCTTACCAGCAAGGAATTAGCGCTACGTTAAAATAACGCTTAGATTCACATACTAATGCCCCTCTTTTCTTATATCACATCTTATACGGAAGAGCAACCCTTAGATGGCGACAACAGGCCTACGACGGCACACTACAAATGTAGATATCGTAGAATAATCGCACATAAGTTAATCTGTCGCAAAGTACACAAAATGGAAGTAACTTCTTAAAATTTCATGTCATTGTCAATTCCTTGCGAATTTTGTATAATCAATTATACAAAAATTAATATATAAAAGCATTCTAAAAATCATGTATTTATGCATTTTTATCTTATTTGATGACAAAAAAATTGGCTTAGCTTGGCTTGGCGAAGCACCATGCATTTATTATTGAAACTCCAATTCTTCGACTAATTAATCTCTCGATTGGTATTATTTAAGGGTAAAACACATGCCGCCATAACCCTGGCGCCCAAAGTTTTAATTTTTTGGAATTTTTTTACAAATGTAATTTATTTGTTTGCAAATTTTTATCGATATGCCAAAAATTCGCACTCCCACTAGCTCAGTAAGGGGTATCTGATAGTCGAGAAACTCGGCTATTTCGTTCTCTCTTGTTTAAAAGTTTTTTCGAGAAATGTTTGTATTTGAAAGCTTGATTTTAACTAATGATATTGTTTTGATATTGGAACGGCAGATTGTATTATTTGTCGATTTCTTCATAGATACATCGTTATTTTATCATTTATGTTCAAATTTTATCATCTTGTTCGATAGAAATTATTGCATAGGACTCGTCTTTTCCAATCATAATATATATGTTTCATGTTGTTGCAAATCTTGTGACTGTTGTTTCCGTTTTTTTTTTTTTAATTTTTTCTGTACGTATTAAATTGTTTTTGTTGGCACATCCTTAATGTTTCAATAAACACCCCATTTTTGTTCGGCTTCTCTTGTTATACCCGTTACTCGTATATCCCTTTTTGGGTATACTAGTTTCGTTAATAGGTATGTAATAGGCAGAAGGATATATATTCTTCATCAAGATCACTAGACAAGTCGATCTGGCAATGTCTGACTATCCGTTCGTCGGTCTATCCGGCTGACCATGCCCACACCTCTTAAAAAGTTGTAGTTCTCGTATAGTAAAAGGGTATGCTGGATTCGTTGAAAAGTATGTTACAGGCAGAAGGAAGCGTTTCTGACCGTATAAATAGCCGAGTCGAATTGGCGATGTCCGTCCGTCTGTCCGTCCGTCCGTCCGTATGAATGCCTCGATCTTAGGAACTACAAAACCTAGAATTTTGAGATTAAGCATGCAGCTTCCAGAGGCATAGACTCAGTGCAAGTTTGTTTCTAAATGTTGTCACACCCACTTTAACGCCCACAAACAGCGCAGAACTGCCACGCCCACACTTTTGGAAAATATTGTGATATTTTTAGTTTTTTTTATTAGTATTGTAAATTTTTACCGATTTGCCGAAAAACTTTTTGCCACGCCCGCTCTACCACCCACAAGCCGACCAAAACTGCCAATGTAAATATGACGCGATTCTTCGTAAGCTTTTGTGACGTAGAAGACTTATTGGACTCGAAAACCTGCTGTAGAGGTCTGCGTTAATAAAGAAGAAGCTTCTACTGGGGTGAACTTTAAAAAATTAATAATTGTGGGCGTGACAGCTTCCGTCAAACGGAAGTGTTCGGATAGACTCGGCTAGTGATTCTGATCAAGAATATAGATATATATACCTTACAGGGTCGGAAACACTACCTCCTACCTGTTAGAACATTTTCTACTAATCTAGTATATCCTTTTACTCTACGAGTAACTTACTTACCCTTTTAAATAAGACATAGTTCCCACTAGCTGAGTATCGGGTATCTCTTTTGTTTTATCTATTTTGAGACTCCTGGCAAAGTGAAAAAATTCAGTTTATAAAATGCTTTTGCATTTGAAGGCTACTATTCTGGAAAAAATAATCATTTTATTCAACGAAAATTGAGCATGGATAAAGTGAAAATATTTTATAATAATGGTATTTTGTAGATATGCAGTGTTTTGTAATTTTTCATAACAAAATGTGGAGATTATCATGCAGAGGTACAAAGTCGAAATTCGACATTATGGGGTTCCGAATATGTAATTTTTTACTCAACTGTCACGGATTTTGCCAGGTTTCTGGGACAGTCAACGTCGCATCCGCGGAGCACGGCAATATGATAAGACAGCAGTTGCATTGGGATAACAGTGAGAATTCCTTGCAGGCAGTCGACGGTGCGAGGAATCTCCAGATGGCGGGAAGAGAAAGCCTTGGTCTCCTCGTCGCCTTCCTCGCAGATAATAATCGGGCAGCCCTTGCGGGATGTGACCTGTTGTAGAGCGTTCATGCACTTTACGTAAACGGGGTCGCGTAAAACAATCATCAGCACGGGCATGGAGTCGTCTACGAGAGCCAGTGGACCGTGCTTCAATTCACCAGCCATGATGCCCTCACTGTGCATGTAAGTCAACTCCTTGACTTTCTGAAAGGCGTAAAATAAATCCTTAGGAATATGGAAATAATTAAAAAAACGTTTCTCACCAATGCACCTTCCAGACAGGTGGCAAAGTTGTAGCCTCTACCCATTATCAGAAGTGACTTGTGTTGGTAAAGGTCTTTGGCCAGTTCTTGAACTTTGGAGTCCAGCTGCAGAACGGCTCGGATTTGATCCGCGAGCTTTGACAACGCCTGCAGAATCTCCAGCCGTCGCTGTTGCAATGACAGCCGATCCTCGGACATAACCAGAGCGAACATCACCAGGGAAATGAACTGGGAGGTGTAGGCCTTGGTCGAGGCCACGCCTATCTCTGGGCCGGCGTTAATGTGAACTCCACAATGCGATTCGCGACAGATGCTGCTGCCTACGGTATTCGTAATGCCCACAATTAGGGCTCCCCGCTGCTTACAGTAACGCAAGGCCATCAGGGTGTCGGCAGTCTCTCCGGACTGCGATATGAAGAAGCAGACGTCGTCTCGGAAAATAGGCGTATTCCGGTCTAAGAAATCGGAAGCCAGCTCGACCATCACGGGAAGCTCCGTGAGCTCTTCCAGAAGCTGCCTAGTGGCAACAGCGCTGTGGTAAGATGTGCCACAGCCAATCAACATCAGGCGTCGACAGCGTTTGATTTCAGGAATGTAGTCTTTGATTCCGCCGAGCACTATGGCGTTCCCATCGAAGCGGACGCGACCGCGCATTGTATTCACCACGGAGTCGGGCTGCTCGAAAATCTCCTTTTGCATAAAATAGTCATAGTTTCCCTTCATGATCTGTTGAATTTCCATCTTCAGGGTAGTGATTTCGCGCGCGTGCGGATCATCCAGGCTCTTCTTTAGGCGATGGATACTCAAGGTACCATCCCGAACAGCAGCAACATCGTCGTCCTACCAGCAGAAAAGAGTATAACGATATATTACATTTCTTGAACAGTGTGTAATGGGTACAACGAGCTTTTCGCAAAATGTATATTCTTAGGCGAACGTCGAGCTCTCGGAAACGAAGAAAACTGGGAATTTGTGTCTGAGGTAGCATATGCTAGTGAACTCTACACAGCGCAATTGTCATACCTCCAACGATGTTTTTACCCGTAACTTGCAGAGAAAAAGTAAACATGTAGCAGGAAGCTTTTTCGACCATATAAAGTATCATACATATATATTCTC